TATATATATATATATATATATATATATGTATATATATATATATATACCAGTTTATGGTACTGCGTGATTTGTACCACTATGACCACTCGTGGTATGGGGTATCTTGCATAATGTACATCGTTGCGCGCGAATATAGGTTTGTATAATATTCGCATGAATTTACGTCAAAGAAAAAACAATTAGAAATGGGCGAACGTTTCCGTTGCCTCAAAATTGAACATGACCACATCGGCAGATATGTACACGTGCTCAGGCATGCATGCTTGCGTACAAGGGTACACTCACTATTGTCATATTCACTGGGGTTGACTTTGTGTGCACAGGTTGGCCGACTACTACACCCCGGGTGGGCGGTACACATCGAAGGTGGGGACGATGCAATACAAGGTACATTCGCGATCTATTGAAACCCAATTCTGCATCAAATTGCAACTGATGTACTATATCGAATAACGCAATAACGCTTGGAGGTTTGAATCCTGTCCACACGGTGACAGTGGTTAACCATTTATCATTTGCGAATAAACGGGGTTGACACCGCATTCTGTGTGGTACCCTCCACCGAGTAGACTTTTGTCACGCGTGGGCGTATCGGTGTACCAATCTGTACCGTACCAGTTCAGTTCCAGTTGCAAGGGTATATAAACGTGCACCGATCTAATTGTTGTACTGGGGCCGGTTGGGTGGGTCGCAGGGCTTCGGCTCTAAATCATGCAGAACTCAAACGGCAGCGACGCCACCGACTTGGAAGCGGGTGAGTTAAACATACATTCCCGCAGGCGTCTATGTACTCCCTTCCTTTTCACCCATCGATCTCACTCCCCACAACAGCCTCCCGAACTACTAATGGGGTACGAGTACTACGACAAGCAAATAGACATGTGGAGCTTTGGATGTGTGTTCGGCTCTTTGTTATTCAGCAAGCGGCCCTTCTTCTGCGGCGCCAAGACGAACATACAGCAACTGGCCACGACAGTACAGGTGCGTTTGGGTTGTCCTCTATCACTACTACCTTATTGTACTAACGCGCTTGATTCAGGCCTAGAAGCACATAGGCGATTCACATGTGCTGGTCCTATCGGCCTGCCTTATCTGGTATTTGCGCTGCACCAACACAACGATGACTAACGAGTATGAGGTAGCAATGAGATCTCATCAT